CTGGAGCGAGTCCAGAGAAGGGCAACGAATGTGGTGAAGAGCCTGGAGCACAAGTCTGATGGGGAGCGGCTGAGGGAGCTGGGGTTGTTCAGCCTGGAGAAAAGGAGGCTGAGGGGAGACCTTATCGCCCTCTATAACTACCTGAAAGGAGGTTGTAGCGAGGTGGCAGTCGGGCTCTTCTCGCCAGTAACAAGCGGTAGGAGAAGAGGAAACGGTCTCAAGTTGCGCGAGGGGAGGTTTAGATTGGATATTAGGAAGAATTTCTTCACTGTAAGAGTCGTTAAGCATTGGAACAGGCTCCCCAGGGAGGTGTTCAAAAAATGTTTAGATGTGGCGCTTCGAGACATGGTTTAGTGGGCATGGTCACATTGGGTAGAAGGTTGGACTTTATGATCCTTCAGGTCTCTTTCAATCATAACGATTCTATGGTTCTATAATTATTGTAATAATGGAGTAACGTGCCCTGGACCAGATCACATAACCCTTAAAAACAATGTGTAAGTTGGGGTATGCTTCTGTTTTCCCATGAAATCATTAGCATTAACTGGAAATCCTTAATTTAGCGCCTCCTTGCTTTGCTAATTCATTTTCTGAGGACGGGTTGGTTGACACTTAATACTTAGCTTCTGCAGATGTGTGGATCATAGTGAATTCCAATAAAAAACACATCTTGATTAGGTTTATGGCTGCTCATGCTCACAAGGGCAGCACAGCCTTTTCCTACGGAAAGATACGCGACCAGTTTTATTTTCGGAGTCATGCGTAAGACATTTTACAGTTCTCTTCGTTCTCATCCTATTGGTTTCTTCTCCCACGTGCAATCCCAGTGCCTTGCGGAATATCACAAAGGAGCGAGGAATTGTCGTCACCCGTTCAACCTACCCCAGCAGCGGAAAGTGGTCGGGACATTGGCTGGGGGACAACACTGCGGCCTGGAATCAGCTCGATAAATCCATCATTGGTACAACCTATAACCAATTTATTCCATGTTTCTTCTTGCTTTCCTTCTTAATAATCACATTTTTGAGCCAAAGTGGGCTACTCAGTTGAGCAATCAGAATTTACAGCCAATTTCTTCTTGACGTTTTTTTTTTTTTTCCTTCTTATTGCCTGCTAAGAAAGTCTTCATGGTTTCTATAGGAATTGGGTTTGATTGCATGGGTTTGAGCACCGCATTGTCCTCAAATTCAACCCCTGTCACCTTTCCGTCATCCTCTCCCTGTTGCCTGAAATTTGCTGCTTTGCTTCTTAAAGAACCAGCTTTCCTGAGGGAATTTTGGAAATTCTTTTCTCTTTCTCATCACGAGTTGTATGATCTATGCAACCCTCACCATACCAAAGAAAAAAGCGCAGTTATTACTGATTTTTTTTTTTTTTTTTGCAGGTCTGATGGAGTTTAGTCTGTTTGGAATATCTTACGTAAGCTCCCGATTTATTGCCTTAGATTTCAGTTTCCTTTATTAAAAAAAATGTATAGTATTGCCATCAGGTGGTTTTTTTGGTTGAGGGGTGGTGGTGGTGGTTGTTGTTGTTGTTTAGTTTTATTTTTAATTTTCAGACAGGAGCAGATATCTGTGGCTTCTTTGGAGACTCGGAGGATGAGCTGTGTGCTCGATGGATGGAGCTGGGGGCCTTTTTCCCATACTTCAAGGAATCACAATGGGAAAGGATCCAGGGTGGGTGCCTTCCACATTTGCTTTGACTGAGATTTTTTTTTATTCCCCGTATTTTCCCCATTTCCTACGTTTTTTTATTCCCCATATATGCTATTTTTAGGTAAACACACCACATCTACAAGAACAAAGGTGTTATTTTTCACATGTTCCAATTCTGCTTAAACATACCACTTCTACAAGACTAAAATGTTTTTTTTTTTCCATATAGGCCATTGTTATTTCTACACACCACACTTATGAGACCAAAATAGTTACTTTTATGGCTAGATACATTTAAAGGGGCAAAACTGACCTTAGTGTTGTCATCCCTAATTATTCTTCATTTTCTAGCAAATTAGAAAAGGGAACAGTGGAATGAAATTCCTGAGTATCTAAAATTCGTGTACTTTGCCCACTTGCTGCCATAAAATACTGTTATTTCTTTTAAGAATAAATGAAAATAACTGTCTAAATGCAGGACTGTGATATTTAAGGACTATAGTCTAAGAAAACAAGATAACTGGAAAAATGGCAATAAGCAAAACAGCATTTTTGTCCTCATTAGTGCTTTAGGTGTAGCAGAGCAGAGCTATTTGTCCTTCATTAAAGAACAGAGAAATAAATAAAGGTACTCAAAGTTAAATGAGAACAAGGAATTTGCAAGGCTCCACCCAGATCTCCTAAGCTATGCTTTGCTATGTCGATTTTGGCTCATTTGACAATTACTGCTGCTAAATTATGTGATTTTATGGGTGATGTATAAAATGAAAAGATGATTATAAACATGAGGGCCTTTTTTTTTTTTTTTTCCCCTGCCTCTTCCCAACGAAATATTCCTGTTTGAATAACGCGAGACTCTTTTCTCTTGTTTAGAGGCAAGATCCTGTTGCCTGGAATTCAACATTTGAAGAAATTTCCAGGAAAGTGCTAAATATAAGATACACCCTCTTACCCTATTTGTACACATTAATGTATAAAGCCAACGCTCATGGCAGCACCGTGGTCCGCCCTCTGCTCCATGAGTAAGTGTGGTCCTTCCTTCCCTGTTAATCATGAATTTCCGCTGAAGTCCATAGGATTTCCATAATCCTTGTAAAAAGGTTTTTCTTCAGTTACAGCGATTTTTCTTTTAAAACTGGCAAGGGATCAAGAAAGCGCATGTTCGGCATCGGCTCGCAGTGACAGCTCAAGTTCTCCATTTCCCACAATGCCAACAATTTTTTTTCTTGTCTACAAATAAAATTAATATATACATTTTAAAGCTCATTCTCATCATCCCTAGTGGTATTCAGCAAATATGTTGTGCCTGGTGCTGAATATGCGTAGACTCACACAGCACGTGTTGTAAACGTAGCTGGGCAAAAATTTTAGGCAGAGAAAGAGGGAGAAAAGAGGGGGGTTGACACAAGTCGAGATTTTGCAGGGCAAGGTAACTTATTTTGGCTAAACTGATACAGCAGGAGGGTTTTTAAAAAATTTTTTATACTTTTTTTTTTTTTTTTTGAAGACATGATTTTAGAAGTATAAGACTTTACTTGTACCTGGTCAGAAGGGGCAATATGTGCCAAAGACTGGTTAATCCTTAATGTTAAAAATGAAGTATTTAAAAATGCTTGTCTTCCACTTAAAAAACAGTGAATTGTCAGCATGTAATCCTGGCCTAATTTTGACTAATCTAAGACTTGATTCTGATGAAGTACCTGTCGAAAAACTAAATGGCACAAATCAGAAGTAACTGGGCCACTACTTTCGCTGTTGCTAATACCTAGCAAAAGTGATTTTTTTTGTTTTGTGATCTAAACATACTAAATAAAAATTTTAGTATATCTGTAGGTATAGACCAGCAAACATGAAGAAACAGCAGAAATGAAAATTAAGGAAGAAGTGGTATTTCCCTAACAATTTCCACATTAATACATTCTTGACAAGCGCTGATACATTTGTAAATAAAATGGGATTCACTTTTAATAATTATTATCTGTTATCAATAAATAGGTAATAAATATTACCTGCTATTACTGGTAGTGTGCATATGGTTGAGGAAATGGTAGTTTTACTGAGACAAAAGGCTTCAACAAGGAAACATTTTGGGCCAGGGTGACACCAAGGGTATGACTACTCTTTTGTTACTTTGCAGGTTTGTGGAAGACAAAACGACCTGGGAAATATATAAACAGTTTCTATGGGGACCGGCACTGCTCATCAGCCCTGTACTGGAACAGGTGAAATATCAGAAATATCAGAAAAGTTGGGGAAAAAATTAGACAATATTAGAAAATGATGACAATATTAGAAAATGATGAAAATTTTAGAAGTTACTTGAGCTAAACTTTACTTTTTGGCTTTAGTAGACCTAAACAAAAAATGTTTAATTCCAGGGTGCGGTAGCAGTGAATGCTTACCTACCAAATGCCCGCTGGTATGATTACCACACAGTAAGTCATTTTAAAAACTGTATCGTATTTATTTTTCCTAATATGTTTAAAGAGGATTGCAGTGTGCTGGGGTGGAATGTGAATCCACCACCTCTGTTTTACCAACACGTGTCCAGTAGGAGTTTTAGCAATGTGAAAAATTACATCTTGGATGATTTTTTTGTTAATCAGTTTGTTTTAATGTAATCTTGTTCAACATGACCAGTAAAAAGGTGGAATAATATCTGTAATCTGAAGCGCTTCTGTGTTTGCTTTTTTTTAAACCCTTCAATGATACCTATAATGACTTTTCTAAGAATCATGGAGGAAGACAAAAGTTTTAAACAATTTTTACAGCCTCAGGCTTTAAAAATCACTCCATTTATTGTGTTTTGTAATTGTCTTATATATGCAGTATTTCAGACTTTATCTTGAAAATACATAGTTCTGCATTGAAAAAGGATTTACAGTGAAAACTTTCTTAGTATTTATCTATGTATTTATAAACTTTTATTCTAAAGAAAAGTTTTAAATGGATAATTCAACAAAGAGACTATCTTTTCTGATTTGTTTTTTGGGGTTGGTTTGTTTGTTTGTTTTTACTCAAAAATAGGATGAGTATATTGGCTTTAGGGGACAATTCAGAAATTTACCATCTCCTTTGGGACATATCAACCTCCATATCCGAGGTGGTTACATCCTTGCTCAGCAAAGCCCTGCTAATACAACATTTTACAGGTATGATAAGAAGAACTGAACAATTAAAATTTAATTTTGTTTTATTTTTTTGCCTTTTAGGGGAGATATTCAGGTAGTGGCCTGGCAAATAAATTTTGTATTAATTTTTATAGCGAGAGCATTTTTCTGGACTCCTTATTTTAAACCTGCAAAAAGCAGAATTTTCTGGTTTAATGTACACCATGCTTGGAAGTATCTCCTGTTTTGTATAAACATTAGCAGTCCTGGGAAAATCAATATGTGTGGTAGCACATTAACTTTTTTTTTTCTCTTTTTGGTTTTCTATCCATGGCCTCCTTTAAATGTAACGCTATGGATTGGGGAAGATTGGTAACAGAGATAAATTGAGTTTTGTACAATGTCTATAAAATACGTTATAGCACTTGAGAAACGTAAAATGTAATTGCCCAGTAAAAATACTCTTTTTTTTTTTTTTTCTCATAGCCGAAAAAACCCATTGGCACTTACTGTTGCTTTGAATGATAGTCAACTTGCAGAAGGCCAGCTTTATTGGGATGATGGGGTGCGCATTGGTAAGTACCAACTTTCTTGTTTACATGATACATTAACTAATTCAGAGTCTGCAATGCATAAATATTGGCCTTTCTATAGCTTGGCGGGTTGCTATAACATGAACAGTCAATCTTTGGGATTATTGTCTAATTGTGCCACACAGCATAGGAAGCATGAGCACAAATCAGAAAAAAAAAATTACAGTAAAATGATTAAACTCAAGTAAACTCAAATTACATTAAAATGTAAAACAATAAAAATGATAAAATGTAAAATGAATAAAATTATGGTAAAATAATAACATGATGTTGTTATTTATATAATATACATTTTGCATAAATTACATTGTGCCCTGGACCTCGGACAACATATCTGATAAGGATTTGTTCTCAAACCTATGGGGAACATAACCATAGATGAAGTGGGAAGCTTTAACTAATTTCCTTGATATTAATTAATTCAAATTACCTTCAGATGAGACCTATTTAGAAGTCTCTTACCCTTTACATCTACAGTGTATTAACCTTGTAATAACTATAAGCTGTCCCCTGAGATTATCACAAGTCATGCACAAAATTGTGATTTTTTTATTTTTTTTTTTAGCGTACCAAAATGTTGCTGGAAGCCTGCACAATGCATATATGTGTACATAGTATATGCAGTACAATTCTTCTATTTGTTTAAGAAAAATAAAGGTGAATAGCAAATACATTTTACTTTATTTTTTCTTTTTAACAGATGCATATGAAGATAGTGTATATCTGCTGACCTCATTTACTGCTCATCAGGTATGTCATGGTAACTTAACTGGTTTTGAGTACCCAGAGTGATTATTGTTGTATGTTTAACTAAGGTATTTTAATCTGGCATTTTTTCAGAGATTTACAGGAAAATGAGAGAAAAAAAGGTCTGAATTGTTGTTTTAATCCTTTCTTATGCTGCAAAATTCACATCAGGATAAGTTTAATATGAAGCACTTCATTGGTAGTGGAGCAGTCTGCAAAAGATCTGCAGAGGTGGAGAACTGGGAAAATCAAAGCCTCCAACATTTGCAAAATAAAAAACACCATAGATATTTTTTTTTTTTAAATTGATGAAGAGAAAAAAATTGTAAGCCTCAAGTGGGCTGAAAAAAGCGTATTCTGACAAGTAACCGCCCAAGGACAAATCACTGATTTTCTTTTTCCTCTTCCTTTAGAACGTTTTAGAGATAAAGGTTTTGCACCATGGTTATGCTGATCCAAATAATTTGAAGTTTACTCAAATTAAAATTTTGGGGGTGACCTCAAACATTCGGGAAGTGACGGTATTGCAGAATGATGAAGCAATCCAGTCTCCTCATGTTGTGTCCTACAACAGCCAAAAACAGGTAAATAGACGGTTCATGGGGAAATCCTATCTTTGCAATTAGTTTTGTGCTCTTAAACATTTGGGGATTCACCTCTTGGCTGTAATGTTTCTAAAATATATTTCTTCACTGCAGTAAAACCGCTGACATCTGAGAAGTAAGAACTTGGTTCTTTTGCAACAATTTTTTTTTTCCCTACAGAATTAATGAAGTATCGTCACAAGTCATGGTCGCACTGTTCATTGAGACCCGCAAGCTCAAATCAGTTGATGTTTAATTTAATTTACCACCCTTTCTACAGAACTCAGTGTTCCGTTGAGTCTCATTTCTTTCTGCCTTTCAGTGGACAGCCAAAAAATAATGTATTAATATATTAAAATATATAATTACTATGTAAAAGGAATGTATGTAATAGAAATATATTATGTAAAATCTATAGTAGCATAGCATAATATAATGTAATGTAATATGATACAATATAAAACCAAAAAGATGAATTAAGAAGGTAAAGAGAAGTAATCTGAAATAAGAACCTGCTGTCTTCTATGAGCTGCAGAAAATCAATACACCTTCAGAGCAGAGTTACTCATTGCTTTTGTTTGTTTGTTTGTTTTCCAAAGGTCCTGGAAATCACCCGCCTTGAACTTGAATTAGGCAAAGACTACACATTACAATGGAGCTAAAATGCCGGCAAATAATGCTGAACTTTCTCATCTTCACAAATTGTTTTTCCCTTCTCCTTCTTGCCTCTTTGACTTCTTAAAATACTTTGCACTATAAACATGTACAGTCAGTTTGTATTAAGTTAGTAGGTGCAGAAAGGAGGCATGGTTTAGTCTTGATCCTGGCTAATTACACGCTGTCCTCGTAAAGTGGAATATGTTGGGTTTCTTTAAATGTTATGGCACTTCAATATGATGCGGTCTTTTAAAATGAAAATATTAATGTGAAATGAGGTGATTTCTGTAAGTCAAAATTGTGGCTGAAGTCCTGCTTACTGCATTTGATATAAAAATATTGGCATGAACTGCAGGTATATGGGGCAATAGATCTGCCCACATTTAGCTTCCATCTTTATTTATGAGTCCCAAGTACGGAGAAATATTTAAGGGCAATGACGTAGATTGATTTAAAGTGAAGATGTTTCGCTTGTTGTTGATCTATAAAATACTAAGGCACTTGCAGAAATCTGTGGAAGATTTTTGTCTGACCTTAAACAGGCACTCGAGTTCTCTAATGTTTTGCTCTGAAGTTGTATAAAATGAAACTTGATGTTTCACTGCTAACTTAAAAAAAAAAAACACAACTGGTCTTGTGTTTTTATTCATGCACGCACAGTGGGTTGTATTCTCCTTGTATGAAGAGGAATTCAGCCCTTTTGGGGAGGCCTGATTTGCACCATGTCCATCCAGGGAGGTGATGATGTGTGCCTGAGGCTTCCTGCAATGCCGAGCAGCTGGTCCAACATGCACCGCGTGGTGTGAGCCAGCACCGAGAGGGGAGGTCAGCAGCTTGGAGCTTCCTTGTGCAGGAACAGGCAGGCTGCAGAGCTCTCGCCCGTTTCCCCGCCTCTGGCCCAAAAGCGTGGTGGTTTTGGCCTCTGCAATGCCCCTGTGCTGGGTCAGGCTGTCTGGTCTTCTTTGGGAGTAGATGCTGGACGAAGGGGTCTGACCCCCCAGGGTGGTTTGCCATGTAAAGGTGACCCCTCATCACACCCGTCCTGCCCATGTTTCTCTCCCCAAGACATCAGCCCTCTATGGATGCAAGCCAGAAGGTATGAGATGTATTTATTGGACCTGGACAGCGAACACAGGCAAGCCAGAGGGGCAAGGAGCTGATTTAGGCATGTGTCCTCCTCCCCGACCCCATGTCCTTCCACCAGATCGCACCACCCAGAGGTTAAAGCCCAAGGTGCAGTGGTCCCCTAAATGAGGCTGAATTTCAGATGCAAATAAGAACCAGATGTTACGGGACCGTGGTGGGATTACAGGTAAGATGGAGCAGCAGCACGCACACACACACACCCCCACACACCCCCAACACAAGCACACACTTTGAGAAGGAACATGGAAACGTGTCTCTCGGTGAAACCCACAAGACGCGAACACAATGTCCAGCTTTATTCGGATGGACCCAAGGCAGGTTGCAAGGCATGGAGATCTGCACAGAGGTAACGAGCAGCCAAAGCAAAGCCAGCTGAACACAAACAACTCCTGCCTCCTGGGGCCTCTGAGGCAGACAACAAGGAATCAGGCGGGGCCTGAGAAAACGGATTGCTTTAGCTAATAGAGCAAAACCTTTAGGAGATTTTTTTCTTCTCCTTCCTCTTGTTAGTCTACCTGGAATCCCTCTTCCAGATCTGCAAATGAGAGAAACAGCAGCATTGGAAATGGCTTCTCTTCAGTCTTGGACCTCTAAGGGAGATAAATTTGGGGATCAAAGGAGAGAGGAGGGTGAGAATCATAGAATCATAAATCATTTAGGTTGGAAAAGACCTTTAAGATCACTGAGTCCAACCGTAAACCTAATGCTACCCAATCTACCAATAAACCATGTCCCTAAGTGCCATATATACCCGTCTTTTAAATACCTGCAATACCACTCAAACTGGGTCATGTTTTTGGCAAAGAAAAATGAAATCCCAAAATTCTAAGAATTAGTGTGACCTAATGACAATGAAATATTTACCTCTTCTCTTCATCAGGCAGTGGGAGAAGAAAAAGATGAGGCTGTTGATGGTAAAGAACAAACCCCCAACAACGATCTCTCGAATCCAGTTGAGTTTACGGCCTGGGAAGGAATCAATGGTGACCTTACCATGACGGAACCTTCCCCCCCCAACAGAGATGATGACTCCTAACCATGAGCAAGCCCATCAATAGCTAAGCCGGTTTTAGAGGGAAGGAGGTGAACTTCCCTCCAGCTCTGCAAGTCCTCTCTACTTGGGAATGGGCATGGGAGTCAATGGATGTCAGGATTGTGACAAAATGTTGCCTAGCAGATGACTGGGCTTACCAATAAGGTGGTAAGCTGTATTGGCCATCCTACCACACACTGTGAGCTGTAGTGGTCCCTGGGAGATGGTTAGCTCTTGGGAAGCTATGGTGCATATCCCCCCAGGAGAATGATCGATTGTTGAAAAAGTTGTGGTCTCATCAGAAAAGCCAGACAAGGTAATGAGACAGTCTTTTCAGTGAGACCTTTTTCTTCAGTATCTCTCCTTATTTTTGTCCATAAAAACATGGGCAGGTATGGCAATGAGCTCATTTAGTGATGGATAGAGAGACTGAAGCGGAGGGATGGATGGTCATAGGCCAGGAAGGGATGGAGGTGAGACTCATGGATGAATTCATAGGCAAGCAAACAGGGAATGAATTAATTAATGATGGGTCAGTGGTCACCAGACACTCTAGTGAGGAAGAGTTTGAAAACTCACTTTTCACATTGACATTGATCCAACGGCTCCTTTCTGAGCGAACAGGACGCATAGCCTTAATTACAAAATAGGCACAACTGTAAGACCCAGAGAGCTCTTTTGTGATCCTGAGGTCATAGCTGTAGTTTTTCACGTTCAATACTGGGATGGAGACCGCAAGTCCAAAGTCCGCATAGTACTGGACTTCTCTAACATCATCTGGAGATGAGGGAATGGAGCAGAGTAGCTTGATGTAGTTCCCGAATCTATAGACCTGCTGCTGAGGATCCAGGGATAAAGTTGGGGCCATGGGAGCCGCTGGGGAAAAAAAAAACACCACCACAAACTCGTAACACAACACATAACCCAAGCAATCCACTATCTATTGACACCAGGACATGTGCACAAACCCTATGATTTTTTTCTAATGTTACGACTCAGCCTTGACAAAGGGACTAGAAAAGAAGTTTATTATTATTCTGCCTATTATCAGGGCACATACAGATCCTTGAACTACAGAACAGCTTCCTGGGGCGGCGAGGGGGAGGGTGGTGGTGGTGTCATTCATGGCTCTCTTCTGTGCTTTCTTGAACCATGGGCAGAGGAAAAAAGACCCATGGATCTCAGACATAAGAACTCAAAGCAGCTTAAACTGTTTCTTTGTATTTACTGAAGTGCAGAAAAGTAAGTATTTTTACATGCCCAAAGTAGGAAGGCATGTAATACACCCCCAGACCCTAGTTTACAAACTGCTGTAAGACCTTTTGGAGATGACACAGCTGTTAGGCCAACTTATTCCTGCTTTCTCAGAGAAATCCAGCAGCACAAAAGGAGCTTCTGAGAAGCCAGAGCTACATCTGTACATTGGCAACCAAGTGACAGGGCCATCGGACAAGATGATGTGCTGAAGGGAGGCGTGCAGTGTCTGGGCTGATGGTACCCAAGCCATGTAGACAAGACCAACCTACCCTGAACCTTAACGGAAAGAGGAAGGCTCCTGTTGGAAGGAATTTCTTGTCCTGAGTCCTCCACAAAGTACATGCACGTGTACTCCCCAGCAGACAGGTTTGTAGCTGTGAGCTGGAGCCATGCAGCCGGCAGGGAGTAAGGTGCTCGCAGGTCAATTTGCTCTCCGCTTTGGTTGAAGAACCGAAATCCGCCTATTTTCCTCTTTGTCGCAGCCAAACATATGATAGCAACACGTTCCCCTTCATAATAGAAATGATAACTGGGGTCTGTGGAGAGTGTAGGGGCTGGCAGAGGGTCTGGGGAAGAGAGAAAGGATTTGGAGGATGGGAGACAGCTTTCAGAGTGGAAAAGGAAAGTGAGACAGCCCTCTTCCCTCCATTTTACAAAGCAATTCAACCTTGCCTTGTTGTCAAAGGCTCAGTTCAGCTGGACAGCATCTCCTGAGAGGTCAAGCTGCACTTACCTGCAGAGGACAGAGGCAACGGTAGCAGCTGGAGGAAAGCTGTAAGAGAGGAGGCTGCAAAAAAAGAGAGAAAAGTAGTCACTTGCACAGCCACTGTCCTATGACATCCTGCCCCTTTTGGCCATCAGTCAAGAGGGCAGCCCTTCCACATTATGGATTCATACAGGTCATGGTTCTTTTCTGTGCCACCGTGGCATGGAAAGCCTAGACTGATCACGGAAAAAACCTCTGAAAACAATTTCACATGCCAATGGGGCCACCCATGCGAAAAAATCTACAAAACTCAACATGCGCCTGAACTTATCTTTTAGCCACATGCAACACGTGTTGGATGAGATTATTTCTTCTGTTAGAAGCAATTTGGTGATTGCCAAGCAATTGATTGAGATCAGCACTAGGAAATGGTATCTTGAAACTTAAAGCCATGGGGCTGCTGGAGTCCTTACAGGGTTAGGGAGGATGGGAGAGCTCATGGGTCCTAGCAGGGGAGAAAGGAGGCGTTGAGCCAGGGTGCAGGACAGGATGAGCTCAAGGTCTACTTGCATCAAATACCAGGCTGCAGAAAGGAATCTTTGGGTTTTCTGGCCAGCTACAAGGTGGGGGTTGTTGCTTGGCTTAGCGATGAGAAGGACCTGGGCAGCTCTGGTGGTCTGGCTCTGGCTGGCAGACCAGCCCCACACATCCATCAAATTTCTGTCTCTCCATGGAGAGAGGGCAGCACGTCCCAAAACCTTTGGCCTCTTCCTTTCTGATTCCTGGAAAAAAAACAGCTTAGATGGGCAATTTGAGAGTAACAAGCATCTTAATTTTGGTCTTGACTTCTGTGGGCAATGCCC